TTCTACCTAATACGCTGCTCTGCTGACAGTTCATTTACTATTTTTCCAACTTTTGCTAACAGTTTCCTCACTACTCTTCTGACCTCTACCCACCACTCAATCTCAAAGACAGTGCCACATGCTTTACATTTTGGCCCCTGCAGCACCCAACCTTTAGGTACCAATCTCTGTATTAATTAGCTTTTGGTGTGTACAGAAACCACTAAAAAAGTCCAATGGCTTAAAACAGCAACTGTTAAAATCACAACTAGATGCAACCTCACACCTATGAAGATGATTACTATAAAACAAAAACAAAACCAGAAAATAACAAGTATCGGAGAGGACATGGAGAGATTGGAACCCTTGTGCACTGCTGGTGGGCATGTAACACGGTGCAGCTGCTGTGGAAAACAGCGTGGTGGTTCCTCAACAAAGTAAAAAGGGAAGTACCATATGATCCAGCAACGCCACTTCTTGCTATATACCCAAAAGAACTGAAAATCAGGGCCTCACAGAGATGTTTGCATACCCATGTTCATAGCAGCGTTACTCACAATAGCCAAGGAATAGAAGCAACCAAGTGTTATTGACAGATGAGTGGATGAATAAAATGTAGTCCATCCACACAATGGGATCTTATTCCACCTTAAAAAGAGAGGAAATTCTTACACATGCCACAACAGGGATGAACATGTGGGAGACATTTGTATTAGTCCATTTCTGTTGCTTATAACAAAATACCTGGAACTGGGTAATTTGTAAGAAAATGAAATTTATTGCTTACAGTTTTGGAGGCTTGGAAGTCCAAAGTCCAAGGAGCACATCTGGTGGTGGCAACAGTGACCCCGGGGTCTCGTATTGCAAGATGGTGGAAGCAGAAAGAGCAGAGAGAGACCCTCCTCTTCTTTTAAAGCCCTATAACCACACCCCTGACCAACATTATTAACCCATTCACTACTGCAGGGTCCTACAATCCAATCACCTCTTCAAGGCTCCACCTTTCAATCACCGTAATAGGATTTCCCACACTCCCAGCAGTCACAGTGGGAGCTAAGTTTCTAATACATAAAACTTGGGGGACACAATGCAAGCTTCCGTGAGTTTGGGGGGACATTCAATCCACTACAACATTATTCCAAGTAAAATAACCCAGTCACAAAAGAACAAATACTAAATGATTTTACTTATATGTGATCCCTAGAGCACTCAAATTCATAGAGATAAGTGGAATGGTGGGTGCCAGGGGTGCGGGGAGGGGAACAGGGCATTGTCAAATGGGGACAGAATTTCAGTTTTACAAGAGGCAAAGAGTTCTGGGCGTGGGTGGCTGTGATGGTAGCACAACAGTGTGAATGTACAGAATGCCACTGAACTGTACACTTAAAAAATGGTTAAGATGGTAGATTTTATGTTATGTGTATTTTAGTGCAATTGATAAAAAACAGCTCTGTGGGTAGGCACTTTGGTTAAGGCTCAGCTGGGCAGTTCTTCTGCTGTTTGCACCTGGCTCATTCATGCCTGAGCCTCCTCCAGGATGGCTGGACCAGCAAGGACGGCTGTCCCCATGATCTGATTTCCAGCAGGCTGTGGAGGGCTTCTTCACTCCCAAGAGAGCAAGCATGGACGTTGTAAGTCCTCTTGCAGCCCAGGCTTGGAACTGGTGCAGTGTAACTTCTGCTTCATTGTGTAGGTCAAAGCAAGCCACAAGAGCAGCCTACATCAAGGGGCCATGAAATAGATTCTGCCTCTTGATGGCAGTTGTTGCAAAAATTTTGTGAATTTTTAAAAAATTTACCAGCCTGTTCAATTTCTTCCTAGTACTATTCTTTACATGAAGTTATCTTATTTACTTCTTTGTTTATTGCTTATCATTCCCACTAGAATGTAAACAGGGATCCTTCCTACTTTGTTCACAGCTGTATCTCTCCCTTCTAGAAGAGTGTTCGTGCATAATGAGTACTCGGTAAATATTTGATGAGTGAGAAAATAAATATTCCATGAAAAAGGGCTCCTGGGATTTAATAACTTTGGGAAATGAGCCTTGTTTATTCTCTTCTTGAGTATTCTTAGTGCACATTATTATGTTCAAATCTGTGAGAAGCCTGTTCATTGTTGACAAATCCAGCCCTTGTTCATCTAATATGGACTTCAGAATTCCTGTGTTTGATTGCAAACAGCAGAACCCCTCCAGCACTGGGTTAAGCTGAATGAAGCAAATCTGCTTCCATGGTAGAGACGTGCATCCAAGGACCCCATGCAGGTGTCTCTACCCCCATATCCGTCTCTGTGTTTCTCTTCCAGCCTAGGCCTGTGTCCTCGACTGCCTTGGTCCCTATGGTGGGATGTGACAGCCCACCCCTTGGGTGTGCACCTCTGTTTTAGAGATTAGCCAGGTGTCCTTAGGATTGGTTGGATTCAGTTCCTCATCTTGGTTCAGCGTAGCCTCTATCAGGAGCCAGCCCTGCACTGTGGTTTGGGGTCACACTGTGTGAACATGGCTGTTTCCAAGGTGACTGGGTGGACAGGGAAAGAGGGAAGTTGCTAGAAAATTTATAAAAGTTCTGAGACTGGAGGATATTATGAATAGGTTGACAACCCCATAAGTGTTCGGTACAATCCTTTAGAACTGGTATTCCATGGAACCTTCTTGGAAAAAAAAACTGTGATGGTGGCATTTGTGAATTTGGGAGTTCTTATGACTATCAGGGCCCAGTGTATTTCCTGCAGCTCTATCGCTAGTAGTAGAATTATCAGGCCAAAGGCACGAAAACATTTACCACTCTTTATCTGTATTGCCAGATTGGTTTTCTAAGCAATTGCAAATTGGCCCATTTCCCTGTCACCTGCCATGTAAGAGGGGCTCATTTAGAGGCACATTGGACAACAGATTTTAAAATATGGTATTATATTGAGGTTTTAATTTTAATTACTTTGACTACAAATAAAACCAAAATTTTTTCTTATCTTTACTAGTTAGCCATGTGCTTTTCTTAAATTGTCTAAAAATGCTGTTTCCCTTCCGTGTTTTTTTGCTTCTTTGCTTTTATTTTAACCTTTTTTAATAGAAAATAAGACACAGATACAGAAAACTTCACAAATCAGATCTGTGGCTTTATGATCTATTGTGCGGTCACCCCCCTCAGGTAAGAAATAGAGCTTTGCCAGCCTCCAACAGACCCTTCCTTGGGCCCCGTCGTGATCACAACTCCCTCCTCCCCCCCAAAGTAAACACCATCTGGTGTTCTTTAAATAGGATGTTTTACAAAACTCTGTTGAATTTGTTGCAGATATGTTTACCGTGCTGGTTTTTGCTTTTTATTTTGAGTTTTAAGAATTAACTTACAGGGTTTCCATGTAGAGCAAGTCAAATCCGTCTTGATTTTTCATGACAGCTTCTAATCTGAAATAGCTTTACCTGCTCATCCCTTCTCTCCTGGGAACCAGTTCGAGGGTATGTTTGCTAATTCCACCACCTGTTTTCTAATTCATTATTTCTGCTTTTATCTGTATTGTTTAATTCTACTTCTTGGTGAATTTTCATTTTGTTCTTTTACAGTTTCTTGTTGCAGAAGCTTACTTGGTTCATAAGCTCTTCCCCTCCCCTTTACAAAACAATAAAGCATTTAAGGCTATGAATTTACCTCTCACTATGTTTCTACCTGTTTACCCCTGACATTTCCTTTGTGCCTCTATGTATATGCTGAGTTTTTGTTTTTGTATTTAAAAAAGCAATGCAGTATCTATTGTCATATTATTTTAATTTAAGTCCACTTAATTAGAGACTTGTACTTTTATATTAATCTCTGAATATGTTTTTTTCATTTAATTTTTCCTGATCTTTTGGGAAAAGAAATTTTTGTTGCCATGGTTTCCTACACAAGAAGAGATTTTTGGTTTGTCTTCACTATTGCATAGTGTAAAAAAAAAATCTCAATCCTATTTAATACTTTTGCTTTAAAGATCTTTTTTGTATCCAAATATTTCCTGATTCCATCAACAAACAGTACTTGCAGAGCACATGTAGTAGATGTGCAAGACAAATGGTGTATAAGAGATGGCCTCTGTCCTCAAGCCACTTGAAGGTGAAATAGGGAGACATCCTCCCACCCATCCCCTGCTCCCCCTGGCCTGTCAACACGCTACGTGATGAAGTCCTGTCATTTCAACCTTTCTGAATCCCCGCCTGCTCTCTCCATCCCTGCACCTCTTCCTTGGCTCAGCATCCTCCTGCCTGACTCAGTTTCTCCTTGCCTTTCTGCACACCCATCCTCCATGCCGCTTCCAGAATAGCCTTTCTGACACAAAACACTCAGACCATGTCCCTCCCCTGCTTTAAAAGCACATGCTTTATGAGACAGAGGTGATGGTTGCACAACACTGTGAATGTTCTAAATGCCACTGAACTAAGCAGCTTAAACTGGTTAGGATGGTGAGTTTTATGTTGTATGTATTATACCACAAATTTTTAAAGATGGTATTTTTTATTTTATTTTTATTTTTTTTTTCGTTAAATTTTTATTTTGTCAATATACAATGTATTAGATTATTATGGCCCATCACCGACACCTCCCTCCCTCCTCCCTCTCTCCCCTTCCACCCAAGAATGTCCTTTCCATTTTTTAAAAAAACATATGCTGCCTTTGCTTCAGCCACAGGACGCTTTCTAGAACCTGCACAACTAATGTCCTTCCATCTTCCTTACAGTCCACCCCCTTGAACGCCGCCCCCCACCCCCAGCCTGGATAGTTCCACTCCTCCCTGCCTTCTCTCTCTCTCTCCTCCTCTCCCTCCTCCTTTACTTTCAGGTTCAGCTTAGGTATGACCTTCCCCAAAAGCCTCCTTGGACCCTCGTCCACACCCCCAGGCTATTAGGTGTCCCCACTGTGAATTCCAGTGGCACGCTTCTGTCCTGGAGGTTACCACTCTGCACTGTGATTGTTGATTTACTGGAAAAAATCTTGCTTCTTATTTTTATTGAACACGTGCTTCTATTCTCTTTTTTTAAAATCTTGAAACAGGTGTCAATTCCTTCCAAGTCTACATGGCCTATAAGGATCTGTACCAAATGTCCGACAGCCAGGTAGGTCCTCCTGCACACCCTTCCTCACCCACCTGGCAGGACTGGGCCAGCTTTGTCAGTCAGGGCAGCACAGGGAAAAGGAGACTGTGAGAACTGGCAAGGAGTGCTCCAGGTTCAAGTCTTGGTCCTGGCACTAAATTGCTATGTGACTTTCTGCCAATCACTGCCTCTCCTGGGCCTTCATTCCTTCCTGATGAGTAGAGTGGAGTGGGGAGGGGCCGTCTCTGGCATGGTGGATGGCTGTGTGGGTGTGAGCAGAAGAGCAGGCCTCATAAATGCACCTGCTGTGATGGGTTTATCTCTCACTGATGCCTGTGTGTTCCTCCTTAGCTCTATGAAGCCTTCACTTTCCTTAAGGGGCTGGGAGCTGTGATCTTGGTCCATGCCGAAAATGGAGATTTGATAGCTCAGGTGAGTGGCGTGAGTCTCCACCTCAGTCTGCTTCTCCTTGATGTAAGGGCACCATGGACGGGGGTGTGGCATTGGTCAGTGAGGTCAGTGGGGTCAAGCCAAGAACTGGGTGTCATATCAGACACACAGCTGAGAGTCACTCACAGAACACTGTCAGGCCTCATCACCTGCAGAGTCTCGATGTTCTGACCTGTACAATGGGGATAACATGACTGCTCTGTGGACTTTGATAGGTTTGTGTGAGGACAAATGAGGATCTGAATAGAAATGCTTTGCCAGCCTGGGGGACACCAGAGGCAATGCACACGAAGCTACCTGCTCTATGTCTTCTGGGAGTTGGCGGTGGGTGCATTGGACAGAGCCCAGGCTTGGAGCAGGTGCTCCAGCCCAGACTCCCCCATCTCCCAGCCATGTGACCTTGGACAAGGACTTACCCCATGAAGGCTCACTTCTTCATCCAGAAATACCTACTTGGCAGCATTGTGAGGATTAAATGATGTCATGTCTGTGAGATTCAGCGTCTGACACATAAGAGACTGCAGCCATGCAAAAGTTGCATAGGATGAGACATAAACTTGTTTTGATTGTTCTGGCTGTGGAGTGGAGAATTTGATGGGAAAAGAATAGTCATGGTGACCAGCTGGGTTCTACTCCAGCGATTCTCTTGAGAAATGAAGAGAGGAGGAAGAGAGAGGAGATGGAAGAGGCGAGAGTGTGAGAGGAAGAAAGCACAATCTACAGGACTCATCCATGGATACGTGGTGCACAGGCATGGGTTGATCTTACACATGGCAAGGCCAGGCACACAGGGGAAGATTTGGATGCAGCAAATAAAAATAGTTAATGCCGGTGCGATGTGAAGACTTTACATGTTGATGTTCACAGCTACTCCAGGAGGTAGAGATAATTATCCCCATTTTATAGATAGGGAAACTGAGGCTCACATGTGAATAACTTGCTCACTGTCGCATGGGGCAGCAGAGCTGGGGTGTTAACCAGTTCCATCTGGTTCCAAAGCCCAGTGGAAGAACAGCTTGAGGTCTGCAGCTTCACCATTCAGATTCAGCTACTTACTATTTGTGTCCTTGCAGTTTTTCTGTAAAATTGAAATTCTTTCAGATTCAAAGTAAAAATCAAACAGCAATGCCTCAGTTACATCCTGCAACCGTATTCTGTTCATTGGTAACAAGTTACAGAGTCCAGCTCATATTCAAGAAGAGACTATTCGAGGGCATGAAGAGTAGGAGGTGGGGATCGTTGGGGGCCGTACCCGAGGCTGCCTACCTGCCTTTGGCCCCCATGACTGATGCTCCTCCCATGTGCAAAGTACAGTCACCCCCTTCCAAGTTTCTCCAGAATCTCATCTCATTACAGCATTTGCTGAAAGTCTGGAATCTCATCTGAATCAGGTCTAGGTGTGGATGGGGCTCCTTGGTCGCACTTCCCACAATCTGTAAGTCTGTGCAGTTAAAAAGGCAAGTCATCACCACCCCTTGCCCCCAACATACAACATACAATGTGGGGGATAGGGGCAGACATCGCCATTCAAAAAGGGGAAAATAGGGGCATCCAGGGTTCCTTGATCCAGAGTAGTTCTGAAATCCAGCTGGGCAAATGTTGGCAGTTCCTGTTAGGTCTCGAGCCTGAGACCGACTCTCCCTGGCTTCTGGTTCCATCCTCTGAGTGATGCATCCTTTGCCATGGCAGGAAGCACATGTTTGTAGCTCAGTAGCATTCTCAGCCTGCCTTCTGCCCAGCAGGATTTTGGGGGTCCAGTTGCCTCTTTCCATATCAGGTACCTGTGTCCATCCAGCTCAAGCTGCCAGAGTTTTGCTAAAGTAATTCTCCCCAAAAGGTCGTGGGCCTCCTGTGAATGTCACTGGAGTTTGTGCCTTTAGACAAAAAGACACCACAGGTTTCTTCCAGCTAAGCCCCCCTCTACCTTGTGAGAGAAGCTTCCTGGAGGCCCTATTGTTTGATTGAGAGGATACATGGGCACAGCCTTAATCTCTTTAAAGTTTCTTTTTTTGTGACTGAATAATCTCAGGGGCACCACCCTTTGTCCTTCTTAGTTTTTAAAAGGTTGTCAAGCCACAATCAGTTTTATCGTGAGGCTACTGTTTATCTGGCAGTGTCTGAGATTTGCTCAGAAGCCATTTCTTAATTTTATGTCCTTAGCTCTTTGGAGAGGCTGAAAATCTCAACACCATCGTGTCCTGGTTTCCTTTTATTTAACAGTCCTTCCCTCCATTTCTCTCTTCCCTCTCGCATTCTACTATACGCAGGTGGTACCTTCCACACTTTGCTGGGAAATCTCTGTACGAGATCCCCCAGTTCATTAGGCACCTTTCCTGCTCTGCACGTAAGTGCAGGTGACACTGCTGCTGACTCCAGCTGCTGCATAACAAGGCTCCCTCTTCCTCCAGTTTCCAGTAACACACTCTTTGCTTCCTTGTGAGCTGTCACTGTCAATATCCTCAAAGTCCACATTTCTTTTTTTTTTTTTTTTTTTTCCTTTTTGTCTTTTTTTCGTGTCCGGCAACGGATCGCAACCCTCAGCACACTCTTTGCTTCCTTGTGAGCTGTCACTGTCAATATCCCCAAAGTCCCCATTTCTTTTTTTTTTTTTTTTTTCCTTTTTGTCTTTTTTTCGTGTCCGGCAACGGATCGCAACCCTCAGTGTCACGCCCGTACCGGACAGGGGATCGGCAACAGAATCGCAAACCTCGGTGCTGCACCCGCACCTCGCTCAGCCAGTGAGCGGGAACCGGTCTGTATGTGGGATCCGAACCCTCGGCGGGAGCGCCGCCGCGCTTCCCAAGCGGCGCACTGTAGCAGTGCACCACCGGGCCGGCCCAAAAAGTCCACATTTCTAATAACAGTCCATTCAAGGTCACGCTGCTCAAAATTCTTCCGACCTTCATTCACTGCCTGGTTCCAAAGCTACTTCCACAAATTTAAGTAATTTTTATGGTAACACCCTACTTCTGGTACCAGAATCTGTATTAGTTCTCTATGACCACATAAGAAATTACCCCAAACTTAACATCTTAAAACAGTAAACACTTATTATCTCATGGTCCTATGGGTCAGGAATTTGGCTCTGACTCAAGGTCTCTCATGGGCTGCAGTGAAGGTGTCAGATGTCAGCTCAAGGCTTGACTAGGGCAGGATTTGTCTCCAGCCTCAGCCAGGTGGTTTTCAGGATTCAGATCCTTCTGAGCTGTCGCACTGATCACCTCTGTTCTTTGCTGGTTTTTGGCCAGAGGCATCCCTTGGTTCCTTGTCACATGGGCAGCTACAATGTGGCGGCTGGCTTCCTGCAGAGTTAACACGTGAAAGAGCCGGGGGAAGCCAGAGTCTTTGTAACCTAACCTCATAAGTGACAGTCCGTCTCTTTTGTCACATTCTGCCCATTAGCAGTGAGGTGCTGGGTCCAGGTCACACTCAAGGGAAGGGATTCCACAGGGATCACTGGAAGTCATCTTGCAGGTTGCCTACCACACACATCTTAGTTTGACCTGATCTTAAACTTCATAAAAATGGAACCCGACAGTATGCACACTTATGTCTGGCTTCTGTTCAGTACCATGTTTGTGAGATTCGTTCCTGTCGTTACGTGTAGCAATAGCTTTTTCTTTTTTATCACTGTAGAATTCCACTGCGGAAATATGTCACAAATTGTCCTCCATTTGTTGGATATTTGGATACTTTCGAATTTGGGACTGTTAATTATAAAGCTTCTGTGCACAGTCTTGTTCAGTCTTTCGTTAAACTTCTGTTCACATTTCTGTTACTATATACCTAGGAGTGGAATTGCTGGGCCGTAGGATATGAATATATTCAGCTTTACTAGTTATTGCTAAACTGTTTTCCAAAGTGGACCAACCTATGACCCCCGACGGAGTTTGAGAAGCCTGGTTTGGAGCCCTCAAGTTTGGGGCCCTCAGGTTTTAAGCTTTGCATCAGGGGCTCAGCTTTCCCACCGCCAACTCAAGCATTCACTTTTTCAGCTCCAGTGTCTCTGTTACCTTCTGTACACCTGCTCTTCAGCTTCCAAATTTTTTTTTTCTGCTGTCTTTGCACTTTCTTGATTCTTGTGTATCTTTTTCTGTTACTTTGGCAGGGTTTTGAAAGAGACCAAAAATACTGCATGTACGTAGCCCATTACCTTTAACTAGAAATCCTGCTCTAGTCTTGCTTTTCCTCATTATGGCATCTTTTGCCTTCCCCCCTCCCCTTTCCCTCCCTCCTTCCTTCCTACAGAAATAGTTACTGACATTTAAATAATTTTGCATAGGGATTTCTCCATATCATAAAATCTTTTTGTAAACAGTTTCCAAAAATGCCTTGTAAACACCATCTTCAGTAGCTGAAATTATTCCATTGTTTACTTAAATCCTCTCCAGCTGTTAGACCTTGAAAATGTTTCCAGTTTATGTTCTTTTAATAAACTCGAGCTTAATAACCATAACTGCACAGCTGAAATTGTGATTTTTTTTTCATGGTTGATAGGGGCTCATGGTAGGCATGCGTCCAAGAACGATGACACAGAAATTGCAGAAGTTAAAATTGGCAGCAGCACAGCTGGCATCTGGGCAATGTTAAAAAATATATATATATTTTTTTCTTTTGAAAAATTGGTGTTCCTGGGGTGAGAAAACCTTGGGACAGAGGGATTTGAATCCAGGCTATCAGCTCAGGGAACTGTTTCACTGTTGTACGACAAGCTTGAGGTAGTGGTTTCCTGCCAGAAAGACAGACAGCAGGATAGGAAACTGTAGTAGAGATCATGAGAGCCAGCTGCCAGTGAATGAGCCCTGTGTGGGCTCCATGTATCATGCTGGACAGTTTACATGTGCTGCCTTGTTTATTCATTCTAGTAACTCTGTAGTACAAGCACTATTATCCCCAATGTACGGAAGAGGAAACTGAGAGAAAGCTTGACCAACTTGCCCAGAGACACACAGATGGTCCGTTCTGGAGCTGGACTCCCAGTCTGGGCTCTTTGATTTCAACATCCATGTAATACCCAAATGCCACAGGACATTCCCAAAGGACAGCCCTGCAGGGAGACTTGGAGATTGGGAGGGTGGTGGACGGTCTTTGAAGCACATTTCTCGTGACGCTGCTTCCTCTCAATGGTCCTGGAGATTGAATGTAAAGCAGGTGTGATGTAGACGTGCAGGGTGCAGGGGGAAGGGGGATGGGTGTGGTGTTGAGGGCACCCGTTCACCACCCCCAGGCCACTGTGAGAGCTCATACAAATGCCCATCTCCCCAGGCGGGCCTCAGCCGCCCCATCTGTCTGATCAGAGGGCTGGAGGAGCGACTTCTCCCAGATCTGACATTCTGTAATCTCTGACTCATTTGTTCTTGTCTTGTAGGAACAAAAACGGATCCTGGAGATGGGTATCACAGGTCCCGAGGGCCATGCACTGAGCAGACCTGAAGAGGTAAAGACTCCCCGCCTTGGGCATGACCCTGAAACTGCTGAGCGCTCACCCCGATGCCCTTGCAGCTGGAACAGCCCAGCCAGGGCCCCGGTCCCTTCACATTCCTCCTCCAGAGCATGCCAGCCCATCTTGCTTCTCTGGGGGCCCTGGGGGCTGCAGGTCTGTCAGAGAAGCCAGGGAGAGACCCTGCCGCTCCCAGGGTCCAGGGTCCTCACACCAAGGCCCCATGGTCATTTCAGTGTCCAAATTGGATAAGATCCTTACTGAGGATTTTGTATTTTGGATGATAGGAAAGTGAAGCCACATGTCCCAAGCCAGCACCCAGAAACAGCTACCCCTGCCTGCAGTGTCCCCAGGACATGAAAACGGGTGACTCCTCTGGTGTGGCAGTGCATGTGTGTGTGTGTGTGTGTGTGCTTGTGTATGTGTGACATTGTGTGTGAGGGGGGAGGTGGGGCAGAAGCAGATAGGGCCTGGAACCAGAGGGGTGCCCTAGCAGCCCTCCTTTGGGTGGAGGGTATTTCCTGATGTCCTCATCGGATCATTAACAAGTCTCCTGGGCTTCTGGGCCCGGCCCTATGATGCACAGTAGGGGACACCACAGGAGTGGACAGGCTTCCTGCCCCGAGAGGCTCTTGGTCTAGCCCAGGGCTCCTCATGAGCCCCGTGGCTCAGTGACGGGCCATGAGCTATTGGCTCATGGCCTGTGGTGAGGTCAGGACAGAAGCAGGAGACCAGATTCTTAGAGCGTGTGGATATTGCTGCCGCACCCGGGCATGTGGCCAGTGGCTTCACCCTGGAGAGCAGGGTAGGGACCCTCTCAGGTCGTCAGACCGGACTGGAAATTAAAAACAAAACAACACAAAACCTTGCTGGGCCTTTTCTCTGAGAAGCACTGGTCTTGAGTGGCAGAGACCAAACAAAAGAGCAGGTGGCTTCACGTGTGTATTCGATGAGTGGATGAGAAGTCACTTGTCACACATGTGCATTTACTTACGTCTTTTTGTGCCTTTTGATGCCTTATTCTGCCGAGTCTATCCCCTGGGGGTGGGGTCTTCTAACAAAGCACACAGAATATTTCCAAACAAGCCAAATAGCATAATTCTGTCTTCCACTCCTCTACTGAAATACATTTTGACTTATTTGACTTTTTTTTCTTTTTTAAAATCTACAATATTTTCTCCTTTGATACAGTATATTTCCCTTCTGACCACTTTTCATTATGGAAAATTGAAGGACACTGATTCAGGGAGAGCCCAGGGGAACGTGGGAGGGTGGTGGCTGTCCCCCTCCCCTCCTTTCTGTAACCCTTGCATTTGCTGTGTTCAGCTGGAGGCCGAGGCCGTGTTCCGGGCCATCACGATCGCGGGCCGGATCAACTGCCCCGTGTACATCACCAAGGTCATGAGCAAGAGCGCAGCGGACATCATCACCCTGGCCAGGAAAAAAGGTGTGCAGCGGGCCTGGGCCTCCTGAGGGGCAGTGGGTCCCAGGGAAGGGGGCGTCCAGCAGGCCCAAGTGCACTCTCAGGGCCACTGCCCAGGGCAGAGACCTGCCAGCAGGCAGCGGTCTGGGCCTCACGGGCCCCACAGCACGTTCTGAGAGGGAAGACGGATAGTGCGGAGCACAGGAGGTGGGGTCAGCATTACAGGATTGACCCCTGCTGTGCCGCATGCTAGCTGCGTGGCTTCGGGCAAGTCACTGACGTGTTCTGAGCCTCAGTTTTCCCATTTGCAGTTCAGATAATGACCCCTGCCTTTGGGGTCGAATGAGACCATGGATTTTAAAGAGCATTGCCAGCTCTAAAGCTCTCTCCCAGGGTTTCAGTTGGAGCTGGCCAGATGATGTCCTGCCTGGCCTCTTTCTGGTCCACTTTCTGGGCCCTTCCCCTGGGCCTCCATTAAGGGCCTTGTGGTTGACACCTGCACCCAAGGTCCAACTTGGGGGCCGTAAGAAGAGCGTCAGCTGGAGTTTAGGAAGAGGGAAGGCGTTTCCTCAGAGCCAGAGGGCCTGGGGACAGCTGCGTGCTGGCCATAGGGCAGTGTCCGGAGAGGAGGCCAGCCTCCCAGCCCAGAGACATGGACGTGTCCCTTCTCCTCTTTGAGCTTCTGTTTCCTCTCTCTGAAGTGGACCTGATGAGCTGATGGATGCGAAGCCCTCAGCAGAGCCCTCAGTGAGTCCCAGGTGCCGAGCAGGTGTCGGCCAATGCCCCTCTCAGCTCCAGATCGGCTGTCCACTCTTTGCCCGGTATCCTCATCTCTTAAGTGGGGCTTGTGGCGCTGCTCTGCCCGCTGAGGTGAAGATTTGGGGGTGAAGGCCACGGTTCACACAGCACTGGGGGCTTGCTGGATGGGCCCTAACTGGGCTTGGGGGCTTCTCGGCAGGAGACTCAGAGGGGCCCGTGTAGTCCTCAGCCCTTTCTGACAGTGAAGTCTGTAGTCCCCAACAATCACCAGACCAAAAATAAAGAAGGATGCCCAGAGCAGTCTTCCTTCCAAACTCAGAGAGAGACAGACAGACAGATGGACAGGGGAGGGGCTGCTCCTCACACAAAGATGGTGGCTGGAAACCTGTGGTCCTAATGCCCCTAGGACGTCCACCATTGGACGAGGTCAGCCCTGTTCACTCTCGAGTCACGTGCGGCTGCATGGGGAACTGTGGTCAGTGGAGAAGGTCACGTAGAAATAAACAGTGACAGTGACATGACCACCACTTACTGAGCACCCACCATGCTCGAGACCCGTGCTCATGGGACACTAAACGGGAGGTATAATTACCTCCATTTAAAAAGAATTTGAATGTATTTTATTTAGCCTAGTTTATCCAAAGTAATGTTTTTTAACAAGTCGTCAATATAAAAATCATTAATGAGATATTTTGCCTAATTTTTTCTGTACTGTCTTTGAAATCCAGCGTGTATTTTGCACTCACAGCACAACTCAGTTTGGAACAACCACAGCTTCAAGTGCTCGGTAGCCACATATGGCTGCTGGCTGCCTTCCTGGACAGAGCAGCTCGGGACCCCGAATACCCTGTATTTTTAAGAGCAAGCTGACATATAGAAGTGAGGCTAGCACAACTTGCCTATGATGAGCTCCATTTTAAAAATAAGGAAACTGAGGCTCAGAGAAGTCTGCAAGCAGCAGCGGCCGGGGGCTTAGCATGCAGGCTCTAGAGCTGTGCTGAGCTGTGAGGCGGCCACTGGCCACATGTGGCTATTTACATTTAAATTAAGTAAAGTTAAATAAAAGTTAAAAGTTAGTTCCTCAGTGGCCCCAGCCACATATCCAGTGCTCAGGAGCCACATGTGGCCAGTGGCTGCTGGATGGGACAGCTCAGATATAGAGCATTCCCATCCCTCCCTGGAGCTGGGCTGCTGGGGTCCAGAGCTTGCCTCCCTCACGTGGCGGCAGGGTGGCCTTGGTGAATGCAGCAGAGGCTGTGGTTTTGCGTTTGTCTCTACATGCAAAGGTTCCTACCAGGAAGCCCTGAGACTCTGTCTTAGTTCGTCAGTGGCCCCAGCCACATATCCAGTGCTCCGGAGCCACATGTGGCCAGTGGCTGCTGGATGGGACAGCTCAGATATAGAGCATTCCCATCCCTCCCTGGAGCTGGGCTGCTGGGGTCCAGAGCTTGCCTCCCTCACGTGGCGGCAGGGTGGCCTTGGTGAATGCAGCAGAGGCTGTGGTTTTGCATTTGTCTCTACATGCAAAGGTTCCTACCAGGAAGCCCTGAGACTCTGTCTGTGGGCTTTTTTCTGGCTGAAACCCATCTGGAAAGCAGGCTGGAACTTCTGGAAAGTCGATGCTCGAGGAAGCAGCCCTCCAGCAATGGGTTGGAGGATACACACTCCAGCTCCCTTGCTCTGTAGGGGGACGACTCTGGGGCGCGTTCCTTAGTCTCCCAGAGTGCCCCAGCCAGGCTGAGCTCCAGGGCCCACAGCTGTGACCCCGTGGCAGCTCTCCCTTCTCCCACTCCCTATGTCACTTCCTCTACCCCCGGCCAGGGCTTCCTGGAGTCACCTCCCAAATAAAATGCTCAAATTAGATTCCTTATTTGAAGTTCTGCTTCTGGCAGAACCCAAACTAGGATAGCAAACCACGTCTTTTTGCCTTGGTTTACAAATCTGTAAAAGGAGATAATAATGTTCCCAAACTGAAAGCAATAAGTATCCAAAAGTTTGCTGAGCACGTCAGCCTTCATAACCCCCAGAAAGTACTCAGCACAGTGCTGAGCACAAGGCGGGGTGGGCATTAGAACCCAAGGCCACTGTGGCTGATGTGCGGATGCCCGTGAGGACGGCCCATTTACTGACCTGCAGCCGGTCTCATTCTCCCACATCTAGATTCTAGATTTTGTACCATCAGCATCTCCAAGAGACCGTGTGCCTTTAGCCGTGCTCACTGTGTTTGCCCCTCCCCAGGTCCCTTGGTTTTTGGGGAGCCCATTGCTGCCAGCCTGGGGACTGATGGCACTCACTACTGGAGCAAGAACTGGGCGAAGGCAGCAGCGTTCGTGACCTCCCCTCCCCTGAGCCCGGACCCCACCACGCCCGACTACCTGACCTCCCTGCTGGCCTGGTGAGAGCCCAAGGACTGGGCTGGGGGAGGCAGCCAGGGGCCTTGGGGGGTGGAGGGCAGAGGGAAACTGCAGGCTGGTTTAGACACGGTGTAGAAGAGGAGATGTTGGGCTGACACTTGAGAGGACAGTACCCCACGTTGTTTATGACAGGCCTGCGCGGACCCAAGGAGCTATTTCATTCCATCACTGTCCCTTCACATTTATTGACCACCTCCTATTCATTCAACAACTGTTTAAGTACCAACTATGTGCCAGGCACCATGGTGTACTGGGAAGCACCCGGGACTAGGGATGAGAGATCAGGCTGTGTCAACCCAGCACGTCACATCACCTGTAAAGTCTCAGACTCACTCAGTTTACTGGAAGTGGGGAGAATACAGTACCTGCCATGGAACTGCTTTTGAGACATGTATGTAAAAGACCTGGAACTTAGGGTTCAAGAAGTGGCCACTGTGGCTTGCAAAGCAACTCCTATGGTACGTGCACACAGTAGGAGCATGGCCACCTTCGTCCCTTCCCTGCCGTTGGCCATCATAGGCAAAGGATGCCTAGCACTGACAAGGCCATGTGATGAGGCAGAGTGGTGAGGTGTGCGCGCTGCCCTGGAAGCAGAGGTGCTTGCTCAGGATGACGGGGGCTTGCAGAGAGCTTCACGGAGGAGGCACCATCAGGGCTGGAGCCGGAGGACAAGTAGGAGTTTGCCTGATGGCTGAGGAGAAGATGGGGCTTCTGGCAGAAGGAACCATGTATGCAAGGTGGGGAGGGGCCAGGCATGTCCCACCATGGAAATCCCTGCCCCCCAAATGGTGCAGAGACCCTTGAGTTGCACATCCCAGGGCTTCGTGAACCCAACAGGCAGCCCGATGCCTGGTGGGTGGCTCACGTTTGGTTAAGTCCAAACAGAACTCCCAATCTTCCCCACACAGCTGCTACCCCACGGTCCTTCCCATCTCAGGAAATGGCAGGAGCATGGACTGAAGGCCCTGGAATCTCATCCTTTGCCTCAGCCATCCTGGCTCAAGCCGCATCATCCCTGGCCTCCTGCAGGCCTTGCTAACTCATCACATGCCCGCCCTGCCCCACTCTTCACACGCTGTTCTCAACAGGCGCCCAGACACTTAAACCTCAGTCAAACCAAGCCACCCCTCTGCTTGGAAACCTCAAGAGATTTCTCCTTTCAAAGTGAAACCCAAGTCCCCACAATGTCCCACAAAGCAGGACATGATCTGGTCCACACTGCCCGACTAACCTCACCTGGCCTGACTGTGAACACCAGGCAGGACTGGGCCTTGGGGCCTTTGCACTCCCCGTCCCCCCACTCAGCACTCTCTTCTCATAGATGCCATGAGGTTGGCTCCTCTACCGCCTTCAGATCTTGGCTGGAAATTTCCTCCTCGGTCAGGCCTTTTCTGATTATCCTCTTCAAAATGGGAATCCCACTGCTTGAGGTTTAATCCATAACATTTGTTCTTACAACACACCTCTGGTCCTATTCACTTGCGTATTGCCCGACTCCCCCGCCTCTCTAGATGCCAGCGAACGAAGGTGGGGACTTTGTCTCTCTCTGTTCTTACAAGCATCCCCACTGCCTTAAGTCACACCAGGTGCACAGGAAGTGGGCAACACGTGTGTGTTGCATAAGGGAGTGGAGAGAAACTCTAAATACGTTTCCATGCACCCAGGTGATTGTTAATATGTCCTGGGCTTCTGAGTTGGAAATTGGAGGACGGCCTCGTCCTGTATTTATTATCACGAAATAACGCTCCGCTCACTCCATTGGTTCTGGGGTCCAGTTCAAGGCTCCTAATATATCCTAAGGGTGTTTGCTTTCAACATCCTGAGGGACTAAAACACAAGCCCAGTGAATGTGCATCTCTTTGCTGTCACCAACAAAGAGAATTTTGTCTTGCAAGCAGAGCACAAATGCATTAGCCAGCCCTTACCCTGACAGACTTATGTTAAGAAGACAAGGTCAAGGGTTGGGATCCCTGTACTGGCCAGCTGCCAATAAAAAAGAAAAAGAAGATGACAGATGTCAGCACGTGTTACTCTCCTTGTACCGTGCAGAGATGTGAGGCCGTGATGTATACGGAATATCCCTCACTTGTGAGACACACAGGCATGTACGTGCTGGAAGGTTTCTATCTTACTCACTGACCTACTTATATATCCACTTATTCATTTACTGGATTCACACAACTTTTTTCTTAATCCTTTAAAAAATTGTGATAACATTTGTAACATAAAACTCAGCATACACTCGACTTTGAAGAGAAGAGGTAGGAGATGGGGAAGAGAGAGGACATGGAGGCCAGCCGGAGGGAGTCTACACGCCTGCTGTGTGTAGGTGACTCCCGGCCGGGAGGCTGTGGCATCAGGACGTAAAGGCAGGCCTGTCAGGCTTGCAAAGCCAAATCGTGTGAAAGCAGGGCTGATCCAGGGGGTTATGAGCTGCATAGAAGTGGAGTCAGCCTGTCCTCCGGCACCTTCTGCTGTCTCCTTTCTTGGTAGGGAGCCCCATGCGCACAGCATCGTAGGGCTCTAAGCTCTCCAGACCCAGCTTGGCTGGAGCCAGGCGGGAGCGTGTGGACACTGTCCCAGGCTCAGGGCATTTTAGGGCAGGAGTAGACTGCCACGTATTTGGTCGGGTCCCCTCTCTTCCAGGCGAGGCAGTGGAGGCCCATGCTAACATAGGACCTTGTCTCTTGACGCCTGGCCCTGGGCTCTCTCCAGATTTCAACAAGATGCCAAAGGCCAAAGGGCCTCCCAATGTCACTCACTAATGCCAGTGACATGCCCCAGAACTCTCTTCCCAACCCCCTACTGGGGTTTTAGGTTTTGAGCCTTCCTTGGGTGTCTGAAGTCAGGGTTTGCCCTTCAAAGTGAACTCACATCTGAACCCCACCTTGTTTTTGTCCTTGCCAGTGGGGACCTACAGGTCACAGGCAGTGGCCACTGTCCCTATAGCACTGCCCAGAAGGCAGTGGGCAAGGACAACTTCACTCTGATCCCTGAGGGCGTCAACGGGATAGAAGAGCGGATGACCGTCGTCTGGGACAAGGCAGTGGTAAGGTGTCACTCATTGCTCCTGCGGGAACATTCTAGAAACACCCCCTGGCCCATCAAAGCCAATGCAGTCTGGGTTCTTAAATCTTTCTCTCTCACTTGATGCAGAAGCAGATGCACTAGAAAGGTGCCCGAGGGCACGCAAGACTCATGGGGAGGTGGTGCCAGTCCTGTAGTGTCCTCTGCGTTCCAGAGGTCACAGTTGTCCTTTGCGCTTTGAGAATGAGGAATATTTTGTTTTGTTCTCACCTCATTTTCGTTCCCATGAAGATGCTCTGTAAACTGTGTGTGTGCATGTGCATGCATGTGTGTGCACGTGTGTGTATGTGGAATTGGGGGTGTTGAGTGAGTAGAGAAAATTCTTATTGCAAAAGGAAGCTCCAGATCCCCCTGCCCCCTGACCTGAAACCAGAGGTTTGCATTTTCCATGACATTCGGGTTCAACTGAACAGACAAATTGTGTGAAAGTCCACATGCCTCTGGATGCGTAATTACGTCTCTGCTCTCATGAGCCCAGGCCCTTTGTGCTCTTTGAGGATGGCCTGTTTTCAGCTGGGGACAGGGGAGAATTCCAGGTGGCAGGTTTAGGGCGTGCCCCTTCTCCCAGCCCTATTACAGGATCCTCCCCTCAGCAGTGGGTCTTGCCTTTAGGCTACTGGCAAAATGGATGAGAACCAGTTTGTCGCTGTCACCAGCACCAACGCAGCCAAGATCTTTAACCTGTACCCAAGAAAAGGGCGTATCGCCGTGGGCTCAGACGCTGACGTGGTCATCTGGGACCCCGACAAGGTGAAGACCATAACAGCCAAAAGTCACAAGTCGGTAAGTGCTGGCCTATCCGCAGTGCTCAGATAAATGATTCTTGCTTTGTAATCATTTCAGAAGCCTGTGGTTAAAAATGATTTATGAACTTTCCAACTGGGATGCGATCTGATATCTAGTGCAACTCAGTCATTTGAATTTCTCCTCCAGTCGGAGAGATGGGGAGAAGGGCTTTGAGCAGGCTCAGCTAAGCTGCTCCTTGCGTGTGTGTCCCGCCTTCTGTCTCTCTGTCCCTCTTGCACATGGTGGCTCCTGCCCACAGGAGCTTGCCGTCTCAGCCATCTGGCACTGCTCATAACTCCATGTAGTAAGCCACCAGGCTCAGAAAGGGGAAGCGTGTGGTCCAAGATTCTTTGTCCAATTGAATTGTCAAGCTGGAAAGGATTTGATCTGGTGCAACCGAAACCTCCCACTTGATTTTTGTGGCTGGCTGCTAACAGTCAGAGAGGAAACGGTTGGCCTGAAAGTGTCCTGTGTCTGAGCACAGCCCAGGAGTGCATGCTACTCCACGTTCCACACCCCAGCCTGTGACTGTAGTTTATCTCTGCTTTGTATCCTACGTGCCCTTGACTTCTCCAGTCATCCAGCAAACCCAGTAGGGATGCAGAGATGGCATTAGACACCTGTGCCTCCCTTAAGGGCTCACGCCGACACCCACTCTGCATGACAGCAGTGGCCCTGGGCCCAGATTACCATTCACACTCATGGACACATGAGGCCACAACCTGGTCCCTGGCTCACTAGAGGCTGTTAAAAGACACAGGCTGGAAGCAGGGTGTGTGCACATGATATCGGATCTGCCATGTGAGTCCTCACAGTCTCCAGTGTCACTTGCTGGTGAGGGGCGTGACCACATGCATGGGTCACAGATGCTCTACAAGGGTGGACAGGACACCAGGCACAGGGAAGCCTCATAAGAAAGCCACAGGAACCACTTGCAGCAGCTCATGAGCATGGCCTTGGCCACCGCTCAGCTACAAGAGACATTGCCTAGGGAAGGAGAGGTCTATGTGGCCACTAACTGTGCTTGTCCAGCTCACCAGTCTGTGGTCATTCATACAATAAACAGTGCTCATTGGTGACACTGCTGGCTTCCCACGTGCCCCACCTCCAGGTAACAGGGTCAGGAGGAAATAAGCCTGTGGTCGCCTTGCCCTGGAGAAAGGTTTAAGCCATTCTCCACGTCACATCCCAGTAGGGCGTGCAGCTATGTGTTGTCAATCACAAAGAATGCTGTAATAGAGTATCCGCGACACCGTTAAGCAGTTTGGCAAAAGCATTTTTTTCTGTTGCATTTTCTCTGTTCAGGGCAGTATCACGCATGTATTACAGGAAACTAATGTTTTTCAGAACATGGATTGAGAATGGCTGTATTAGACTTTAGTTGTATTATTTTAAGTTTTAAAAAATATTTTTCTTTTAATAATTAAAGAGATCATTTTTTTATATACTGACCAGTGATTAAATTTTTAAATATACTTTTCTGTAAAAAGAACATAACTTTCATATCTCAGTAGAAAACATATTTACTTCAAAATGCCACTCACAGGTGTACACACATTTCTACATCTGTAGACTATCTAGTTTTTAAAAACTTTTTTTATTGAGGTATAATCGCATACCATAAATTTCACCATTTTAAAGTGTACAATGCAGGATTTTTTAGTATATTCGGAAGGCTGTACAATCATCACTAATTCCAGAATGTTTCCATCACCCCCCAAAGAAACCAAGGACCCATTAGCAGTCACGCCTCAGCCCCCCGTCTCCCAGCCCCTGGCAACCGCTAATCTGCTGTCTCTATGGACTTGCCTCTTCTGGACATTTCATATAAATGGAAGCATTTAATATGTGACCATTTACATCTTGCTTCTATTACTCAGCCCAGGGTTTTCGAGGCTCATCCACACTGCAGCATGGATCCGTACTTCATTCCTTCTTGTGGCTGAATAATATTTGCTGTATGGATATACCATATTTTGCTTATCCATCCATCCATTGACAGACTGTCTTTTAAAGGACCTAAAGGAAAACAATAACATTAGTTGCCCCTGGGGATCTCAAATGGAGAGACAAGAGTGTTTTTTACTACAGTCTTTTGTACTATTTAAATTTTTATGTTGTTCAGATATTACCTTTAAGAAATGAAGTAACTAACTATTAAAATTCTATGTAGTTGTGAAATACGGAATGTAACATTTGTGAGTAATATAACCAGAACCTCATAAGAATCCCCCAGTTTAGGAATATGACTGTAGCATATCATTTCCTTCAACTAGGTGGGAACAACAGGCCCTCACTGGACTACAGGCGTGGGGGTCTGGCCAATTTCAGCTGGTATGTAAGTGACTGGCTTCTTGTGTCTTCCTTCAGCAGTCACAATCCACATTTGTACTCCAGCAAAGTTATGAATTACTGCATAGCAGGGTCACTTCAGGGTGACTCAGGAGGAATTAGGTTAGCAAATGCTAAAACTGGAAACACACTGTCTGCCTGGGTCCTGGGAGGCAGCTGCAATTGAAGAGTCTGCACAGAATTAACAGCTATTTGTAGATGTGAGTGTTTGCCTGAAAACCCCAAGCATGCACCTAAAAATCATCAAAAACTGTAAAAGCATCTATTGGCTGATGATTACAAGTAATCAAAATAAAGAAGCAATAGCTTTTCTTTGAAATAATTAAAACCCACCTTGAAAAATAGAATGGAAATCAAAGTCCTGTTCCTAATAGCAATACAAATCGAAGATTTAAATACATGCAAGGACTTCTGTGCTGAAAAGATTCAAGCTAGTGAACATATCAATTCTCTTCAACAGATCTTTTTTTTTTTTAACTAAGAAAGCAAGATTCTGGAGGGTAAATGTGAGAATAGCCATAACATTTCTGAACAAAGGGGAAGCTAAGGAGGGAGCATTAATTATCCCATTTATTAAAACATATTACAAAGCTACAGTAATCAAAACAGTTTGGTATTGGTACAAGAGAAAAGAGAGCCAAGAAATAGACTGACCACATGAAAATCTGGTTTATAATAAAGGAGGCAGTTAATAGGAGAAGATAATTATTCAACATTTTTTGTGTCAGGACACTCAGCTTATCAGGTTTAAACTCTGCCCTACTCTTTACCACAAAACACATTCAAAATGGATCAAAGATTGAAGTAAAATTATAAAAGGACTGAAGTAAAACATACATGCTTTAAACATGATAATTTCAAAGGACAGAACACCTTGTCAGGCAAGGCACAAAACTTAGCAATCAAAAAGGAAAAGATTGGTCTATTTGACCATCAACTACAGAAAAAACTTAAACAAAATAACCCTCTGTACAGCAAAAAAGAAATTATTTAAATGAGACCAAAAGACAGAAGACAATCAGGGAGAGTGTTTGCAACACACTTGAGAAAGGATAAATTCTTTAACATTGAATGTGTACTTAGAAATCAGTAAGAAAAATACCAAGACCCTAATAAATAGAACAATATGCAAAAACACAGTTACACAATAAGAAATGTACAAATGATGATTTAAAAAGAGACCTAATCTCACTTATTAACAAGTGTAAATAGCAACAGTAAAATGCTATTTTTCATCTGTGCCAAGGACTGAGATCTAGGAGTTTAATAGTATGTAGATCCTATTTAATAGAGTCTTGTTAGGACACTAGTGTTGCCTTTTTTGGGAGAACAAGTCTATCAAAGGTGAAAATCCATTTACTCTTTGGCATCAATCTCTACCTCTAGAAACATGTCCAGATTGTTGATGCAAAATGTGTTTCAGCCTTGTTTTTAACAAAAGCATGGAAATGACCCGATTGCTTATTTTTTGGGAACTGGGTAAATAATCGATGGTCCATTCTAGTGATGTAATACAGTATAGCAGTTTAAAAAATGTTAAAACGTTTTTAAGCTATGTGCCTGTGCTGATATTGAACAATCTCTGATATAAGGAGAGAAATGAGGTGAAAACCCTCTGTGTGGAATGTGGCACGTGTGTGAAACAGTCACTCACGCTCAGACAATATCTAGGGATACAGAAGAAACTCTTTAAAGCAGTTGCCTCAGTCTGAGCTAGAAGAGAGACTTATTTTTTTTATCAATTATCTTTGGTTGATACTGTGTGATTTTTTTCAATCATGAACATGACCTGTTTTTAAAATAAAAGCTAAAGAGCAGTTGGCTAGTAGTGGTAGTTTTCAAACAGGGTCGAGTATTCACTGTAGGCGTAATAAAAGGAATGCACATTTCTAGGGAAATGTTCTTTTGTCTTTCAAATTAGAAAAAAAAAATGACACTACCCAATGCGGAAGAGGATGAACATGAACTCTCTCTCCCCCTTGCCAATGGAGTGTCAATTGGTCTGACCCCTTCGAAAAATAATTTGGTAATAAGCAACAGTGCTTTAAGAAAGCTATTATCCTTTGACCCAGTAATTTGATTTTAGAAAACGATCCTAAAGAAAGATTAAAAAAAAAAAAAAGACACACAAATGTCCAGTGTAGTCAGAGCAGCCACGTTGCATAACCCCAGGGGACACCATTCACATTCGTGATGCCCAGAACAATATTAATTTGATTGTATGAAGCCACCAGCAACCCGAGTGCCTAGTGGTGAGGTGTTGCTTGTGCGTATTGTAGAGCATGCTGTGGAACAGCACACAATCCTAACGGAGACATTTTCAGAGAGAACAAGACATTGGAAAATGCTCGTGCTATGAGGTTAGGCAGGATTGCTGTTATGAATGCCGTGGTCCGTGCACCCTGCGTCCCATGTTGGGAAGCGTGGGGAGAGTGATGCTGCCTTCCCGGACCTGCAGGCCGTGGAGTACAACATCTTCGAGGGCATGGAGTGCCACGGCTCCCCACTGGTGGTCATCAGCCAGGGCAAGATCGTCTTCGAGGACGGAAACGTGAACGTCAGCAAGGGCCTGGGCCGCTTCATCCCGCGGAAGCCTTTCCCTGAGCACCTCTACCAACGTGTCAAAATCAGGAGTAAGGTGAGCGCATCTGCAGGGGCAGGACCCAGCGCAGGGACCAGAGCCACTCCCTCTCCTGGGGAAGCAGGCTCTGTCATGTGCAGTGTCAACACGTCACTGCCGCGTGAGCCTAGCTTTCCTCATCTGTCAAATGGGTTGTCACACTGCCCTGTGCCCCTGTCGACCCTGCAGGCTCCAGGGCTTTGCAAACTGTAGAGTGGGGTGCACCTTTGGGGATGGGCACTGCTCTGGGTGCTGTCCTGAGTAGTTCTCAGGAATCCTTGCCTCCCTATTGGAGGTGTCATGATCCTCATTTTGCAGATTAGAACCCTGATGCTCAGAGCTGTGAAGAGCTTAACCGGAGTCCCATAGCTTAGAAATCCTCAGGCCTGGCCATTTTGATAAGAATAAATAACCCCTAGCGTCCTCGATGGATGGCTCCCTTCACCTGCCCGACCCCGTCCCTCCCCTTCCTCCCTGGCCATTTCTGCATCTGTTGTTCACTCTTTTCCTTGAAGAATCTTAGCACTGACTTCAGGAGGTCCTGTCAAAGGCATGGAGCAGGATCTGTCCCCATCGCTAGTGCAACTTGAACAGGGGAACTTTCTCACACTGAGATAAACTCCCTCTGGAGGTCAGCATCTTCCCTAGTCACAGCCTTTCCATCACCATGGCAACCTGCTGCCCACATAAGACAGGCAATGTTTGCCAGAAAGACCAGCTGTGTGTGTGTGTGTGTACGTACGTGTCCATATGTGTACATGCGCATGCATGCACATATGTGTATGTGTGCATGTGTGTGTGTATGTGTGCATGCATGCATGTGTGTATATGTGCGCTTATGTGTACGTGTGCACATGAGCGTGTGTGTAAGTATGTGGTCCCTTTATCTTGTGCTTCGTAAGTGGCACCACCACCAATGTAGATGGGCAAGTTCAGGGCCCTACTCCCGGCTCCCAGCACCCACTGGGAGGCTCTGCGTCTGTCTGCTGTCCCTCTCCATTGCCCATAAGGTGTAGTGCCCAGATCAGAGACACCAAATCCCACAGATGCTTTCATCAGACGGGGAAGCAGTGGGCATGGAGAAGAAGCAGGTCAGATCTGTGAAGAGGACAAGGGACGCATGTGAACACCGGGCTGGGACACCCGCTGAGGGGTCTTCATTCCCTCTAAAGTGGTCTGAACCTGATGTCTGTGGATAACAGTCAGCTTCTGCAAGAGCAGATGCCTGATCTCAAATCCTATGTCATCAGTTTGCAGGAGAGGCGGGGGGCTGCCTGCACAGGAGCACACTTAGGGCAGGGGCCGAGAGCCAGGCCAGGTGAGAGAGAGGCCTGCCCCACAGCCTGCCTCTGTCGACCAGAGCTGTGGGGGTGATGGGAAGGGTGTTGTCCAGATGCAGGAAGCACGACAGCAGGTACTGAGAGGAACAGCACAGGACACAGAGGGCCCAGGTCATCAGAGAGCAGAGCTGTGGGGACAGAGGGAGGGTTGTTGAGCTTGTGTTGGGTCTGTGAACTTGGTGCTAAAAATCAGCATATCTGCTGCAGAAAGGGAGGAGCCCGGGATTGGGGTCAGGACGCTGTCACCTGCTGCAGAAAGGGAGGAACCTGGGATTGGGGTCAGGACGCTGTCACCTGCTGCAGAAAGGGAGGAACCTGGGATTGGGGTCAGGATGCTGTCATCTGCTGCAGAAAGGGAGGAACCTGGGATTGGGGTCAGGACGCTGTCACCTGCTGCAGAAAGGGAGGAGCCGCAGTTGGGGTGAGGATGCTGTCATCTGCTGCAGAAAGGGAGGAGCCTGGGGCTGGGGTCAGGGTGCTGTCATTGACCCATGGTGGGACCCTGTGCCGGTCCATGGACACAAGCTGTTATCCAAGGCCTGGGGCAGATTCCCATCTCTGAGGTCGCCTGGGCTGCCATAGGCAGTTTCCTGCAGGCTGATGGCATGCCACGTGGCACCGCTGCCACTTTCAGCCTCTCTGCCTCCAGGTTTCTCTGCCCCTGGCAGCCCACTGCCCGTGGGGATGGTCTGTGGACCCATGCACCCTCCCTGTCCTCTTGTGGTCAGTGCCAAGGTTGCTCCCTACACAGTTCCTGAGCCCTGCTGCCCAGCTGCTCGGCCCACTTGGTATTTCTGTCCGTTTTGGGTTTTCTCCCTCCCTGTCTCATCTCCCCACTCTTCCTTTTCTGGAATTGTCTCCCAAACAAACTATCTGCCATCAAGTCCTTGTCCTGCAGTCAACTCTGCAAGAACACAGGTGAAGATTGGCTCTTTGGTGCTGCCAGTCTGGGATACAGGAGTCTTTGAGTGGGGGGGGGGGGGG